GAAAACAACTGACCCTCAACATGACTGTAGGACTGGAAACATAGCTTGCACATATTTGAGATTCCCCGAAAACAACTGACCCTCAACATGACTGTAGGACTGGAAAAATAGCTTGCACATATTTGAGATTGCGAGGCCACTGCCTCTATGAGCCCCATTCAGCCCGCATTTTGGAGCCAGTTGGCCGCCCTAAGTGAAGGCAGGCTCGACGAGGCCCTCAGGGCCCTACTTTGGCCACTGTGCAACTAAGGAAATTCAGGCAGTTGCGCAGCGTCAGTTGGTTGAAAGAATCCAGGCCCTTGGCCGCCTGTGTGAATGTATGGAAAGCAGGCCCTGGGCTGGGTACGGGTACTGGGCCAAAGACATGACAAAGGCAGTTGGGCGCATGCAACCACCTCAGGCCCCAGGCCTGTTCTCGATCATGCTGGGCCTCAGGCTACCGGGGCCTACTGGAAGCTTCCTGGGACTGGACACAGGCAGGCCACTTCAATATAGCAAAGGGCCTGCCTCCGCATTCCTCATTCGGGTGCTGGCTGCATGCTGCGCTATTTGCTGGCTGGCGCCTATGCGCTCATGGGCGAGCAGGGAAGGAGCAGGCAGCCATAGCCGAGCGGCGCTACTGTAAGCTGGGTGTGGAGCAGGGTGGTCCTTGGGTGCAAGTGGCATCTGTGTGTTGGGGAACAAGGTTGTGAGCAAGGCGAGAGACATACCTGGTGCTGGAAGCGTGCGACATTGGTCGCTGTATGCTCGTACTTCTGGAGAGCTGTTGTCGTCAACTTCGGCATTGTAGTATAGGCTAGATAGGATCTGCCACATGTAGTATGGGCGTCGAGCACCAGATAGGATATCAACTCTGGTTCTTCGTTGATGATGATGATGGGACTATTTCAGCATTGTCAATTATGAACTCTTGGTGTGTTCTTATTTGGTGAATCTCGTGATGCAATTCTGCTGTTGGTTCGAGGTCACGACTATCTGGACTCATATGTATGATGCTGTTTGATTGCTGAAGTTCACTATTGCTCATCTTCCTTGCAAGATGGGTGTGTTGTTGTGTTCGTGGGAAGACAGTACTTAAGATGAATAACAGAACACAAAAAAAAAGGTGCATACCTTGTGATAGGCAAAACATGTAACAGTAACACATAATACATCAACTTAAATCGATTTGGAAATTGGAAACCAAGCTGACTGTGAAGATAGCAGCTGTAAAGCTGTCTCTTATACACATCTAGATGTGTATAAGAGACAGGACACGCTCTCTCCATAATAATTTATTAGACAACCCCAAGTTTTTGATTATGAATAACTCATTACCTTTTATAGTTTTTTTAAGTTTGGTTAGGAATTCTGACATGACTCTGAGGTAAACGTGGTTTGCATTGTTATTCTGCATAACATACTTTTTTTTCAGATTTTTTTTATTTTCATTTTTTTTAATGGTCCGGACATTTCTGGACCTGTCCAGACATCCGGACCGTCAGGATCCCCGTGTCCGGAGGTCCCGAAATGTCCGGAATTCCGGACATCCGGAAACTATCGGACACAGCTCCGGTTCCATGTCCGGTTCCATGTCAGGATCCCCGTGTCCGGAGGTCCCGATACTGTTTTTGTGTGTGTGTGTGTGCGTGTGTTTGTGTGTGTGTGTGTGTGTGTGTGTGTGTGTGTGTGTGTGTGTGTGTGTGTGTGTGTGTGTGTGTGCCTTGACATTCTGAAGCAAGCAGGCAGTGGGCAAATGGTACCAGTACCAAGTCAAGCCACAAGAAGCAGAGTTTGGGACGAGTTGAAGCTCAGTCCAAGTCAATATAAGGACTGGCCAGCCACATTTTGGACAGATTGCTTATTCGTGAGAAGTGTGGAAGTGCTGCTGAAGCATTTGTCCGCTATCTGCGAGTAGCATGTGCGCGAGAGCCCTGCTGGGGCAGCGCTGCACTGAGAGGAAGGCTGCCATAGCTGCATAGCTAGCAATAGGAGGTAGAGCAGAGTAGCAGCGGATGTATTTAGAGTCAAGATTCTCAAGTAGAGAGAGGGGAGGGGAGAGCGCATGCATGATGAGGAAGTCCACAAGGGACAGAGAGAGACAGGGGAAGACATAGAGGGAGAGAAGAGAGTCACCTACCTTTGATGAGAATGCTGGTAGCCTCATGAACCTGTGCTACATGTCCCCCTCATTTCCAACGTCGGGTAGAGTGGTGGTTTAACGGCACCGAATGTATACCAAGAGGTATGCAAGTGCCACTAGGGGAACTCAGATACAAGATATTACTTTGGATCCCATCTCCTCTGGACGAGAAAGTCACAGAAGGGTTCGGAAACCTACAACTTGGGTCAGAAAGTCCAATCGCAAGCTGTGTGAATCCAATTGCAAGGTGTGCTTCAGAACTTGAAGCAGTGTTTCTTGGAACTGAAAGGCAAATGGGCATCTAGGGGGAAGAACTTTTTTCAGTATCATTTGGATTCAAATGGCACAGCTTTACCTCACAAGGGGGGTTAGATTAGGCTCCAGGGTTTGCGTCATCTTACCAAGGTTGCAACACGTACTGCATCACTTGATCCAAGGGGAGGGCCAGACAGTTGTTCATCTACTAACTGATCTCGGCTCTCAATGACCTGGAATCACCCATATCCAGTTAAGCCAAAAAAGTAGAGTGAGCAGAAAACGCCCATCCTCAGAGAGCTCATATCATGCAAACAAAAGTGGGCGACAACGATCCCACAATCCAAGAAAAGACAAACACGTGCAGACAAGGACAACACATCGGTTCTTTTTGCAGCCACAGACAGACTACTGGCAGAAATGCGCTCCTTCATCCAGCCAGAGAACAGTTGACTCCTTCCAGAAACAGGGAACCCGGTAGCTGCTCATTGCTGTATCTATCTAATTCCAGCATGATTTTGTCATCTGGTTATCGACAGTCACATATGTCTGTGCAGGAGCAACCAAGGACACCAAGACTACTGGCCATACAGGCGGAGAACACTTGACTATTTCCAGTTTAAAAGGAGCCCGGTAGCCGCTCATTGTTGTAACCATCTGATTCCATCAGAACTCAAATTCATGATCTGGTTGTTGACAGTCACGTGCACCAATCCTTGTTACGTGGACACAGTTGGCCCAGAAGCTACCGAAGATGTCAACATAGTTGGCATGTTCATTGTCTTCAATGAGCAGATAATCCAAGTTCTTCATTCCCTTCCCTTTTCATCATGTCTTTGTGGTCATTTTGTGCCTGCAAATTGCCTGCCGTCACTCTTGGGGCCATCATGCCAGAAAAAAAGCCAGTGTCAGTTTGTCCCCTTGCCTGTAACTGCTTTTGATGAGGTGCCCAAAATTCCAACATCGTCCTTGGATTCCTTGTCTGAATAGATGGCAACATCTGTTGTCTTTCATTTTGCATGCCAACAACAGGCGTTGTGTCATGGAAGTTTTCCGGACACAGTCATGGGCAATCTGTCTCTGGACTACGTGGCTACCCAAAGCACTGCGCCGTCTCCGCCCACATTTGAAGAGGAACCGCTTTCGACAGCATCAGATATTGAATCCTGCCATGGAGACACAGATTGCCACCAGCAAAAGAAAGGGAAGGAAAAACTGCATCTTGGGGCTACCCTCTGCATACAAATACAATGCACCCTGTGCACCCTGGTCTGCACATATAAAAGTTATCTTTCCAATTCTATAAAGTGATGATGAGAGTGTGTTGTAATTGGGTGAAGATGGTATCAAAAATGTTTGGAAAAAAAGTGCAATGAACAGAAAAGCTAGGAAGATTCTCACGCCCGGCCGGTCCTCTGCCCGTCAGGCACCCGGGTGTGCATTAAAAAAAAAAAAAAAAAAAAAAAACTCTTTTTTGGTTATCTGCGCTCTCCCAGAGGACACCAAATCCGGGCTAGTTTCGTTTTTTGCGAGTTGCCTGTCAAGGGGGGAGGTATAAATTGGTTTTAAAGGGGCCAAAGGGGTCTAAAGGGGGGTGCCTTTGTGTGATTCTGTTATTTTCTTTTTTATCTCCGATGCTGTGAGGAATGTGACTCTCAGCCAAAAGTCATTTGTATTTCAATTCTACACAATATTTTTTTCCACGGAAGTTTTTGATTTTTGTTATTTTATTTTTTGCACTGGGGCTGCCTGGAGCCCTGGCCGGGGGTCATGCCCAGCCGGGCACACGGGCGTGTACCCGGGCAGAAGTTGGGTGCCCGGGCGCCGGAAAAAACAGCCTAGCAGAAAAGCAAAGACAGCAAATAGACAGCCAATACACACCAGGACAGGAATCTTCTTAACACCTTGCAAGCCACTCACTTACCATTCGAAAAATAGTATGGGAACGGCTGCTGTTCTGATTCATGTTCGTTTCTCCAAAGTGACGGTTTCCTGTCCATACATAATAGGCAAGCAGGGATCACAAACATCATCAGCGAAGTGAAACAGTCCAACTGCTAGCACCACACCAATCACACTAAAATGATAGGGAGACAACAGTCATAGGAAGAGGGCAGCACATTATCACTGCGTCGCAATGACGACGTCCAGGAGATGAACATTGTGCTATCCTGTGATTCTCTACTTGGCCGTACAATGGGCAGATCCTTAATGTGAATAGAAGAGGACAAGCATATACATACTTACTTTCTCCTATCTCCATCAGCTCCAACACCCTCTCGGGATTCGTTACAATTTCTTCTCTCAGACCAGCAACGAAGAAGCCCCTCTGTGAATTCATGACAACACACACACAAGCACTCAAAAGCGACCAATCAGGATGACGAAAAACATGTATAAAGAAAAAGGACAGCAAGAGCTTTTAACTACCGTCTTTCCCCGAAAACAACTGACCCTCAACATGACTGTTGGACTTTAACTACCGTCTTTCCCCGAAAACAACTGACCCTCAACATGACTGTAGGACTGGAAACATAGCTTGCACATATTTGAGATTCCCCGAAAACAACTGACCCTCAACATGACTGTAGGACTGGAAAAATAGCTTGCACATATTTGAGATTGCGAGGCCACTGCCTCTATGAGCCCCATTCAGCCCGCATTTTGGAGCCAGTTGGCCGCCCTAAGTGAAGGCAGGCTCGACGAGGCCCTCAGGGCCCTACTTTGGCCACTGTGCAACTAAGGAAATTCAGGCAGTTGCGCAGCGTCAGTTGGTTGAAAGAATCCAGGCCCTTGGCCGCCTGTGTGAATGTATGGAAAGCAGGCCCTGGGCTGGGTACGGGTACTGGGCCAAAGACATGACAAAGGCAGTTGGGCGCATGCAACCACCTCAGGCCCCAGGCCTGTTCTCGATCATGCTGGGCCTCAGGCTACCGGGGCCTACTGGAAGCTTCCTGGGACTGGACACAGGCAGGCCACTTCAATATAGCAAAGGGCCTGCCTCCGCATTCCTCATTCGGGTGCTGGCTGCATGCTGCGCTATTTGCTGGCTGGCGCCTATGCGCTCATGGGCGAGCAGGGAAGGAGCAGGCAGCCATAGCCGAGCGGCGCTACTGTAAGCTGGGTGTGGAGCAGGGTGGTCCTTGGGTGCAAGTGGCATCTGTGTGTTGGGGAACAAGGTTGTGAGCAAGGCGAGAGACATACCTGGTGCTGGAAGCGTGCGACATTGGTCGCTGTATGCTCGTACTTCTGGAGAGCTGTTGTCGTCAACTTCGGCATTGTAGTATAGGCTAGATAGGATCTGCCACATGTAGTATGGGCGTCGAGCACCAGATAGGATATCAACTCTGGTTCTTCGTTGATGATGATGATGGGACTATTTCAGCATTGTCAATTATGAACTCTTGGTGTGTTCTTATTTGGTGAATCTCGTGATGCAATTCTGCTGTTGGTTCGAGGTCACGACTATCTGGACTCATATGTATGATGCTGTTTGATTGCTGAAGTTCACTATTGCTCATCTTCCTTGCAAGATGGGTGTGTTGTTGTGTTCGTGGGAAGACAGTACTTAAGATGAATAACAGAACACAAAAAAAAAGGTGCATACCTTGTGATAGGCAAAACATGTAACAGTAACACATAATACACTGTCTCTTATACACATCTAGATGTGTATAAGAGACAGGGCAGTACACGGTGCAAAAAGAAAACCGGATAATACAACAAGAGGTAATCGAGCGAGGGGCCAGTCCTTGGTCTTTTTCACCTCATTGGCTCTTCCCCTTAAGATTCAAGCGCTGCTGCATCACCCCAAAGTGCCAACACAGATATGAGCGGCAAAGAGAATTGTTTGTGATCAACAGTATCCTTCCTCCTCTCAACCAGTTTAACGCACCTTTTCTAAGTGTTGGTTCAAAAGCTGCTGGGCTCATTTTGACCACTAGCAGACGGACAGACCTCTACCAGTTAGCCCCCTGCTATCACAAATGAAATTACGGATGAATAGTTCTCAGAGTGGATAATCCCAAAATCAAATCAGAGAAAATAGTTCGTTGCGAAGCAGGAACACTACTCACTTCTGGGCTTTCATGAACCTGTAATTTCTTGCTTTCTGGGGCCAACAAGTCATTGATCTCTTCGTTATAAATCTCCATGTACGCAACCCGAATCAGGTACTCACGATCTGTTCCCTGGAGAAGCCAGCAAGATTACGAATAGTGATACAAAGCAGTTAAGACATTAGCAGGAGGGTAAAACCAGAAAAGAATCACTGCCAGAACCAGCACAACATGCATAGACAGGATTGGACACGGACAATGAAGTAGGGTTAAAGCACAGGGATCAGGACCATAGGGAGTAAGATAGAGTGTGGTGAAACTGAAGGCAAAACAAAATACAAGAACACAGAAGGACCAGGGGTAGTAGGGGCAGGACAAAAGTGCAGACGGGCAAAAAGAAGAACAAAAGGAGTGCCAATGGGGAGGAATACTTCCCATGGAACGTAGAAAAATATAAAGGAAGGACAAAAGCTGAAATCAAAGCGAACGTTGAAGACAAACAAACGTCAAAGAAGGTGGAGAACAGAGTAAGAACATGAAGGGAAAAAAAAGAACATTAAACTGATTCATTGAAGTAGGCAACGAGAAACAGCAATGACGTTAGGAGCTGTGTTTTTCCCTCTGCCTTTCCCCTGAAACAACAAAAACACAGGCTTACCCCTGCAGTACCCTTCTACGGTGAAGAGCATCCAAGTACGAAGAAAGGGAGAGTACGCAGGAGCTCCCAAACAGGTGTAGACAACCAACTCGAGGGAGATCCGCCTTTAGCAGGAGCCTACTCAAACGGGTGTGCAACCCTTTCCTTCTCGGAAAATTTGATTTCCTTCTTCAAAACACGCAACCACTCAATTCTTGGCAAAACCAATCGCCTCCTTCGACAAGGAGATCATTTCAGTCCCAGCAAACGAATTCCCTTCTTTGAAGAAACATAACATTTGAAGACATATTGCACAGCCAAAGGAATGATGCCACACAGTCAACTTACTGATTCAGAGTTCACAAAGACATCTTGCACAGCCAAAGGAATAATGCCAGACTCCGCAGCACCACCTCGCATCGTGAAAGTCTTGCCACTACTGGTTTGCCCATAAGCAAACACCGTGGCTGTCCAACATCATCCACAAACAAACAAACTGCAATCAGACTCGTTCTCAAACACACTTTTCATGCATGTAAACAGCAACGCAGCATACTGGCGACATACGCCCACTCAAAATTCAGATATATGGCTTTCAGATACGAGTTCACTCTCAATTGGCTACGGCGACTTCAGCGCCCAAACATCGCACTGTTCACATACACTGGATCACCCTGGATATCCCACACGCATCACTCTAACACTCGAACACACACACAC